TGGGACACAGAACTTGGGATCTGCACCCCCATGTCCCACAGCTCCACGGAGAGGATTTACGTTTTATGTTTTTATTATTTTTTTCCCCTCGGTCTGAAGGGTTTGATGCGTTTTTATTCCACCTGATTGCTACTTTTTTTTAGTTATTGATTATTTTTTTTTTCCTTTTAGTATTTTATTGCTTTTTTTTTTAATTTTTAATTTTTTTTAATTATTATTTTTTGGCGGATGGCTCTAGGGGAAGGATAGGGGGTTGGGGGGGCGGGGGGAGCTACTCAGTACTTAGTGCAGTCGTAGGAATAGGGGGCGGCGTGGCGATATAGTGAAGGCGCGGACCTGTAGGGAATCTGACAGGCAGAGTTGCTGCTCACCTGATGTTCGCTCTCCATCCCCAACCGATGCGACGTGAACATTTCCCGCACGTTAGGGAAAGTCTGCTGCTGAGACCCGAACGTGTGACCGGGCAGGTGACTCAACTCGGCTCCGTGATTGAGGTACCACGATGCTGCGGGTTGCCCCGCCGCAGTGCCTCCGTGCGGATGCCCGGCTCCCAACGCTCCCTCTTGCCCAGACGGCAGGCTGAGGGCCCCGAGGGGCGACGGGGCGCCGGTGGGATGCTCGGCCAAACCTTCCTCCAGCGCCGCGGGGGGCACGCACATGTGGCCCGGCCTCTCGCCGCTGTAAAGGCTCATGGCCCGCATGCTGCAGTGGTAGCTCCCACTAGTGTCCAGCGCCTGGCTGCACGCCGCGCTGTAACCCGACGGCTGCCCCGACGTGGGGTAAACCAGCGGCATGCCGGTCCCCGTCCTGCCCGAGGCGGCACTCACCGGGCTCAGGTCCCCCGCGGGGGATGTCCGCAGGGTCATGATGTTCTCCACGCTGAAGCCCGGCAGCCCGTTGCCGGCCGGGTGTTGCTCGGGCAGCGAACCTTCGGGGGAGGCGGCGGGAGGCGAGGCGGCGCTTCGGGGGCTGTCCCGGAGTCCCCCGCCGCTCCCCGGGCTCAGCGTCTCCACTTTGGTGATCACCGGCAGCTCCGGGGACGCCGTCTCGCTCTTGATCACCACTTTTTTCTCGGAGGCCGAGGAGGAAGAGGACGAGGAGGAAGCTTCCTTGGGGAGGTCGGCGCCGGGCAGCCCGGGGGGTTTGGGCTGCTCCTTCAGCAGCCGCTCCCGGGCCTCCTCCTTCTCTTTGGACACGTCCTTCTTCTTGAAGCGTCTCCGGCGCCGCAGGAAGCTGCCGTTTTCGAACATGTTATAGGAATCGGGGTCCAGGGTCCAATAGCTGCCCTTGCCCGGCTTCTTGTCGTCGCGGGGCACCTTGACGAAGCACTCGTTGAGAGACAGGTTGTGACGGATGCTGTTCTGCCAGCCCTGCTTGTTCTCGCGGTAGAAGGGGAAACGGTCCATGATGAACTGGTAAATCCCATTGAGCGTGATCTTCTTGTCGGGGGCGTTCTGGATGGCCATAGTGATGAGGGCAATGTAGCTGTAGGGCGGCTTCACCAGGTCCTTGGGGGCGGCGGGTTGGTGCGGGTGGTAGGGGCCGTAGGATCGCCCCATGCCCGCCGCGTACTGCTCGGCGTGGCCTGAATACACGCTCATGGGGTTGCCCATGCCGCCGTACGTCCCCGCCGTCCGGTAGTAGTTCTGCTCGCTTAAATAGGGCACCACTCCCAAAGCGTTGGGGTCCGAGACGGAATAGCGAGCCTGCATCATGGAGAGGAGGAGGAGGAGGAAGAGTGCGAGAGGAAGGGCCTCACCCTCTGCGGGGAAGGAAGAGGGGAGAGAGACAGAGCGAGCCTCGGCTGCGATCTCAGTCCCAGCGGCACCGCAGCAGCATCCTTGGGGCAGCCGGGGGCAGGCGGGTCGCTCCCTCCCTCGTTATGACTGTGATTCTGATGGGCACACCTAGAGGGAGGGAGGAGGGGGCGGGGGAAGGAAGGGGCTGCTCTAGCAAGAAAAGAGAACTAAAAAAAAAAAAAAAAAAACTAAACTAAAAAGTAGGGGAAAATGAAAAGGGAAAAAATAAGGGGGAAAAAAAAATAAGAAAAAGAGAAGGGGGGAAAAAATAAAAATAAAAATAGCAGCCCTGCGGAAACCCTGGTCACAAGCACCGGGCGAAATCTTCCGGCGCACAGCGGCGCCCCGCCGGCTCCCGGCAGCGGCGAGGGGTGCGCGGAGCCGCCGAGCTCCTCGGCCGCGCTGCCGCCGTTCAAACCGCTGCCCGCCGCCCGCCCGCTTTTACTCCCCGCTCGCCCCGCCCCTCGAGGCCACCGCCAGCCAATAGCAAGCCGCGCCGCCGCCGCTCCGACCAATGGGGTTGAGGCGGCGGGATGCGGTGGCGATGCGAGCATCACACGCGGACACACGCACACACACACAGACACACGCACACACACACACACATACAAGGGCAGTGTCACCCTGCTTTAATCGATATACCCAACGATATATACACATCTCCCACCTTTAATCGAGATATTCCACAATCTGCATCTCTTCGCCCACCTTTCACCTACACATCCAGCATCAGATAGATTTTTTTCCCACCGTTTTCGCCCCCAAAGAGCCAACCATTCCCCGCACTTGACAAAAAGAAAACGGATTTTGAAGCCCATTTGGAGATGTGAAGGCACCAGGTCGCTCCCCACGGGTGCAGGCACTGAGCCGAAATCCCGACCGTGCGCAGCTCCGTGCTCAGGTTTTCCCCCTTTTCAAATAGAATTATTTTAAATGACATAGCCTAGCTGTTTCTTTTCTTTTCTTTTCTTTTCTTTTCTTTTCTTTTCTTTTCTTTTCTTTTCTTTTCTTTTCTTTTCTTCCTCTCCTCTCCTCTCCTCTCCTCTCCTCTCCTCTCCTCTCCTCTCCTCTCCTCTCCTCTCCTCTGTTCCCTTCTCCTTTCTTTCCAATGCAATGCGCTTAGGTGGCTTTTTTTCCCCTCTCCACTCCGGCCATTGAGGAGTTTTTTTGTACGCGTGTGTGTGTGTTTTGTTTTGTTTTGTTTTGTTTTGTTTTTTTTCTCGTGGCTGTGAAATCCGCCCCTCTGCCTTTCTCTAATGATTTCATTAGAGGCAATCAGAGCGGGACAATTAGGGACGCGAGGTGGCCATGTGTAAAGTCGGCTGTTCGGGAGATCTGCGGCGATGCGCTCTGCGCTGTCCGAGGATTGAGCCGCTCTGCCCGGCACGGAAATCTA